CTGTCCACTCTGCCTGTCAAAAAAAAAAAAAAAAAAAGAAAGAAAGAAAGAAAAAAATAAAACATAAACAAATACTAATGGCGGGAGTGCCCAGGGCCCAGGCAGGTGGAGGTGCGCTGAGGCAGGCGCCTCCCTGGACCTCCCCCATCTCTGTCTGGCCACCTCCCCTTCTGAACGCCCCCACCCCCACCCCCACCCCAGAGAGCCCACCTGCCCCAAGGCCTGGTACAAAGACCCCTGCCCCCAGACTTGGAAACCTCACCTGCAGGAAGTGACACGGGTGGGCAAAAGGCATGGGGGGAGGGGCTGTTGCAGAGTTGCAGAAGGGTTCCTGCCCGAGGGCAAGGCCAAGTTCAGGAGAGTGTGCGCCCATTAATCTGTGACACTGACCCCATTACACAGAGGACCAAGCCGCGGCTCAGAGAGGGTGCAGGACCTGCCCAGGCTCCCGCGGCTGGGGGATTCCTCCCTTAGCCACGGTGGGGTCGCGGACAGGGCCTAAGAAGCGAGAAGCTTCTGTGCTGACCACGCTGAGGGCCGTCATGTCCACTACTCAGAGCTGACACCAAGAGCGACCCTCGGGGGCTCATTTTCTCCCTCGTGCATGTGCTGGGGCAGGGGTCTCCCTCTCGGCACAAGGAAGGAGGGAGAGAAAAGAGAAGCTCACAGCCCCGCCTCCCCGGCATCCCCTGCCGCGGGTCTTCCCCACCCCCGCGCTAGGCCCACCCCGCTGAGAGCAAGGTCTGGCGAGCAGGAATGCGGCTCGGCCCCTTTAAATCCGTCCGGGAACGCCCGGGGCCGGGCGGCGCCGTTCCGGGACCTGCTGGCCGGTGCGGGTCTCGGCGGGTGCGGGTCTCGGCGGCCTCCGGGTGCTTCCGAGCGCCGGCTCACAGAGGGCACGATGAGCCGCATCTACCACGACAGCGCCCTGCGGAACAAGGCGGTGCGCAGCGCGCGGCTGCCCGGCGCCTGGGAGCCCGCCGCCCACCAGGGGTAGGCCCCGCCGGCGGGAGCCGGGCCGGGAGCTCGGGGCTGCGGGTCCCTGGGCAGAGGATCCCGACCCCCACGCGGGGCTCCCGGGGCGGCGCTGGCTGCGGGTCCCCCACCGGCTGCTGGGCACCCCCGGGCCTTCGCACAGCGGCCGGGCGAGGGCAGGACCTGCTGGAGAGCCAGGGAGCCGGGAAGCAGGGAGGGACCGCCCCTTGGCAGTTAGGAGCAGGGAGGATTCGTGCGAAGTGAAATAAGTGAGACGCAGAGAAGACAGAAATCCCGATGATCCCGCTTCCAGGGGCCATCTGGAGCAGTGGAACTGAGAAGCAGAGAGGCAGTGGGAGTCCCCGGGAACTGGGGCTGGGGGGAGTGGGGGAGTTACAGGGTACCCAGGGCAGCTGTAAGATGAGCCAGTTCGTCACACTGAACGTGGTAGACAGCACTGACCCACTGCACACCTCGAGTGTACACAGGCTTTGTCAGCTGATGTTCTTGGGAAAAAAAATAGAATTTCCGGTGTGTGTGTGTGTGTGTGTGTGTGTTATCTGGGCTCTGAGTTTTGCCAGGGCCCCCGTGAAACTGGTGTGTGACGGTGGAAGGGTGCAGAGGGGGGCACAGCATCCCCTCCCCCTGTAGCCGTGTGGTTCCCCCTTGGGAAACCAGCTGCCCAGGGCCCCACCTTCAGAGGCCACAATTGGATTAAGTTCTTAATTAACCCACTAACAAAGGGCTCCGGGGATAGGCAGCGAGCGCCCTGCCTGATAGCCACCCCTCACAGGGTGGATGCGGCAGGGAGGAGAGAGCCCCTTTTCCTCTTCCCACTCCTGTTCGTCTTCCGTGGGCTGGTGACCGCGTGGCTGTAAGGACAAAGTGGTTTCACACAGGTGGAAATGGGAGAGCGCATACAGCAGCTTAGACGTCTTCCCCCACATCTGGTGAAACAAAGATAAAATCCTTTCTATGGAGTAAGCACGTCTGAATGTACATTCTCAGCTCGTCCCTGGAGGAGCAGCGAGAGGCGGCTGTGTTCTCCCCATTTTGTAGATGAGGAACACTGAGGCTGCAGTTACAGTAACTCCCAGCAGCCCTGCAGGAGGGGCCAGAGCTGGGTTTCAGGGCCGTCTGGCAAGGTTCCTGCTGTGCTCTGGGCACCGCCCCAGGCTTTGAGACCCTTGGAGGGACGGGGCCCCCGTGGCCTGCCGTGTCTGGTGCAGGCCCTGACCTGGGCCGGCAGACTCAGCGGAAGCTGTTTCCAGGGCACTGCCATAGCCGGCGTCCCGTCTTTCCTCTCCTCGCCAGGGGCAGCGGCGTCCTCTTGGAGGGACAGCTGCTGGATGTGTCTCGGCACTGCATCTCGGATGCCCGTGGCAGCAAGGTGAGGCTGTGTCCTCAGTGGCTTCTCCGTCTTCACTCCCTGGGCGTCTCCTTGTGCTGGGCTCTGCTCCTTCCTGGTGGACTCCTAGCGTGGGTAGGAACGGAAGCCCACGCTGGGCCACCGGCTGGATAGGGAACCGCAGGGCTGGGCTGGGCTGGGCTGAGCGGCAGATGGGTGCAGGAGCCTAGATTCCAGCCAGAAGGGCCTGGGCCCAGGTGGGAAGGCAGCGGACCAGGCCCTGACCCACGTGTGTGTGAAGGCTGCCTCGCAGACACCCGCTGGGCCGTCAGTCCCACGCCCCTGCCTGTCCCTTTGCCCTCAGCCTCCTAACACAGACCTGACTGTGCCTTTTGCTAGTTATCTATTTTTGATGGACATGGAACAGGAATTAAATAACTTTATTTTGGTGTAAAAAGCCCCTGAAACCCATTCATAAACGGCCCTGGAAAATGCGGATAATGGAAAACCCACGTATGGATTTCAGCACTTTTTTGCACCCAGCGCACTTGTCCTGGAGTTCTGTGTTTTCCTGGAGCTTGTAGAAGTCCCCGCGTGTTTGCTTTGTCTCTTCTGAGCGCGAGACCTGCCGTCCACTGCCCTTCCAAACACCGCACTCTGATGTGCTGGCTGGCTGTTTCCCTCTATGAACCCGGGCTCTACCGCAGGCCCTCCCCAGGGGCTGCCTGCTGGTCGGTCTCCCACGCCCGCGGGAGCAGCCTCAGCTCCAGCTCACTGTTGACCCCCGTGCCAGACGAGGCTAGGCTGCTTGTACCCTTGCCTCCTTGGCACACAGCTCAGCAGGGGGGCACAACAACCATCCGGGGCTGCCCTGGTGGACAGGCCGCGCTCTCACCCACCTTGCTTGCTCTGGGTTGCTGGTTCCTCCCGGCCACCCAACTGCCACCCCGCTGTCCCCTCTTCCTCCCAGCCCGGGTGGGCAATGCCAAGCCCCTTCCCTGTCTTCCCCTCCCCTCCCTTCCTGCTCTCACCTCCACTCGCCTGTGGTGGACCTTCAGCCTCTGCCAGCAAAGCCTCACACCCGCCCTCCTGCCCCGGCTGTCCCCGAAGCTCAGCCCTGGCCCGCTGGCATCTCCAAGGCTCTCACTGCTGCCCAGAAGCCTTCCAGGATTCCTTCTTGTCTACCAGATAACTCCCAACTCCAGATGCCAGCACCAGGCCCCACTCAAACCGGTCCTACCGGCTCTCCCAGCCCAAGCTGCCCCGGAGCCTCCAAGGGCACTGCACTGCCCAAACCTGCACGTGGCCTTGGCCTGTGCTGTCCCGGGCTTTGCACTTCCTCCTCCACTCCACAGGCGAATCCCACCCTTCCTCCTCCTCCCAGGAAGTGGTATCAGCTGCTTGGATCGGAGCAGCCGGCGAGCAGCGTCGACGGCACAGTCCAGGCTTTGCACTGTGCTTGCGTGTAATCCCGTTCCTGACCTAGACGTTGTGTCACCCCCGTGGGGACACTGAGACTCGGGTGGGGGTGGGGCTAGGAGTGACTTGCCCCAGGTGCTGCACCTGTCAGAGAGGCTACCCTTTCCCCAGAAACCACTCCTACTTCACGGGACAGACTGAGCATCCCTGGTCCAAAAGTACAAAATCTGAAACTTTGGGGGCACCCATGTGATGCCACCAGTGTGTGTGATCCTTGGTGCCTGGGTTCAGGGGTACTGTACACACCTGTCTCTGGCCATGTGGAGACATTGAGGTCCAGTGAGCAGGTGAATGAAGGAATAGTTGAGTGTGTGGGGGGAGCATCTTCCCAACCTGCACGTCTTTGGGGGCTAAGGTGGGATTCCAGGGTAGAGGATGAGGTGGGTGCGGGCTGTGGTCAGGGCCTGCAGGATGTGTTGGGGTAGGGAGAGGGTGAAGCAGCCCCTCCCTCTCTCTCTTTCCCTCTCTCTCTGCCTGGCTGCAGGAGCGCTACTACGTGCTGTACGTCCGGCCCAGTCGCATCCATCGCCGTAAGTTCGACCCCAAGGGAAAGGAAATCGAGCCCAACTTCAGTGACACCAGGAAGGTGACCACCGGCTTCCTCATGTCGTCCTACAGTAGGTGTCTTTCCCCTCTGCCCCAGTGCTCCGCAGCGGAGCCTGCCTTTGTCCCTGTGCCTCTTGGTCCCAGCTTCGAAGCTGGTGTCTGCCACAGGGCCCCTGCCCCCACTGCTCCTTGCTGCCCCCCAAATTCACTGAGAGACTCCCACTGCCCCACCGTAATCCAGGCTGGCCCTCCCAACTCCCGCCGTTGCCTGCAGCCTGGTAGAACTCTTGGCAACCTTGGCTGCGAGCTCCAAGCGCCTCCATGCAGAGCCCAGCCCAGGCCCCCAGCAGCTGCTGTCTCATCACCAAAGTCCTTGTTAGGCTCCTGGGCCCTGCCTTAGTCTGTCGGTGCTGCTAGCTGGTCATTTATAAACAGCACAGGTTTGCCTCTCACAGTTGTGGAAGCTGAGAAGTTCAAGGTCAAAGTGCTGGCAGATTCAGTGTCTGCTTCAGAGATGGTGCCTTCTTGCTGTCTCCTTGCCATAGCTGAAGGGCAAGGCAGCTCCCTTACCCGATTTTTTTTAAAAAGAGATTTATTTTATTTGAAAGGCAGAGTTTACAGAGAGAGAGGAAGAGACAGAGAGAGAGAGACAGGGAGAGAAAGATCTTCCATCCGCTGGTTCACTCATCAAATGGCCACAAGAGCCAGGGCTGGGCCAGACCAAAGCCAGGAGCCAGGGGCTTTTTCTGGGTCTCCCACTTGCATGCAGAGGCCTAAGAACTTGGGGCGTTTTCCACTGCTTTCCCAGGTGCGTTAGCAGGGAGCTTGATCAGAAGTAGAGCATCGAGGAATTGAACTGGTGCCCATATGGGATGCCGGTGCTGTAGACAGCAGCTTAACCCATGATGCCACAGCACTGGCCTCTGTGTTACTGATTTTATGAGCGTGCCAGTCCCATCCCTGAGACTCTGCCTTGGTGACCTGCTCCTAAAGTCCCCCTTGGGAAGACCATTGTGTCAGGGACTGGGTTTCAGCATCCAACATTTCTGCATCCAGACCCTCTCCAGCTCGCCAAAGATCTGGGGCCTCTTCCAGCTTTCCCTGTAGAAGGGAGGGCCTCTTTGCTGATTGCCGCTGTGTGAGAAGACTTTGAGGTTGAAGGCGAATCGGGCATTTCATTCATTCATTCATTCATTCATGCTGTTGGTTGCTCGTTGATTCCCGGAACATCTCAGTGAGCCGCTGCTGGGCCCTGGGCCTTGCTGGGCACAGACGGGGATGAACGACACTCAGTCCTGCACTTGAGGTGTCCCAGGCTGGTGGAGGAGACCTGGGCTGGCGCGTGGGAGGCTCAGTCAGGGGAGCCCTGGAGGTGGGAACACCCATGCTGGATCTTTCTAGATCAGCAGAAGCCAGCCTGTGTTCCCGGGGGCGGTGGGGAGGGGGGGCAGTGTGCCCAGACGTGAGCCCAGGTGTTCCATCCAGGCCACCAGATGTGTGTGATGCAAGGGGCAGGGGCCGGAAGGAGCTGAGCTCCCATGGAGGCTTTGAGGAAGCCCTTCCTTGAGTGGCTGTCAGTAGGGAAGCGATGCAATGCGATTCGATTGGTTTGAGAAATTCTCCCGGGAGGAAGACAGCTTGGAGAGCCGGAATGTGGGTGCTGAGTGATTGAGCGTGCAAAGCACCCAGCCTCCCCTGGCTGTGCACAGGCCCCCACAGGTGCTGCTGACGCGGCAATGTCAACCCTGTGTGCCCGCAGAGGTGGAAGCCAAGGGGGACAGCGACAGGCTCACGCCCGAGGAGCTGATGGCACTGGTGAACAAGCCCCAGCTGCTGGCGTTGACGGAGAGCCTGGCCCCTGATGGGACCGTGGCGTTCTGGATGCCTGAGTCAGAGATGGAGGCCATGGAGCTGGAGCTGGGGGCCGGGGTACGGCTGAAGACTCGGGGCGATGGTCCCTTCCTGGGTGAGCTGACCCCACATTGCTGGGTGGCCTCCGAGGGCCCCCAGCCTCCTCTGTGCTGCCCCTGCACCTCCTGCCCAGAGCTCGTGAGCGCTCAGCCTAGCAGGTTGGGCCTGGCCTCTGCTGGGGCACAACCCACCCCCTGGGATTAAACCCTAGGCAAGTGCCCTGGGGCCGTGCAGCCTGGGTATGCCACCCAATCCCATGGCTCCTGTGAGTGGCCACTTCCATCTAGCTCCTTGGGGGGGTTCCCACCCAGGGCTTTAGGGACCCCACCAGTCTGGGCCCAGCCCCCCCCAGCCCCTGTGTGTCTGCCATCAGCAGAGAGGACCCATCAATGTCTGTTCTTCTCTCAGAGTCATTAGCCAAACTTGAGGCTGGTACAGTGACCAAGTGTAACTTTGCTGGCGACAGCAAGACAGGCGCCTCCTGGACAGACAACATCATGGCCCGGAAGTCCTCAGAAGCGGCCACGGCGGAGGTCCGCGAGCAGGGAGACGGAGCCGCAGACGAGGAGTGGGTAGGTCAAGAGCAAGCCGTGTGCCTGGTCTTGGTGCCGTTGCACAAGGCGCTTCAAATGTCCACGGAAAATGGCATTGAAATACGTTCATTGGTGTGCCAGCAATTTAAAATCCGTGTATATGAGGGTCTTCAAAAAGTTCATGGAAGTGCAAATTATTGAAACGCTATGTGTGAGTTTCAATGGCCGGAGATGTGCCAATCCAAAGCCAGGAGCCAGGAGCTTCTTCCGGGTCTCCCATGCAGGTGCAGGGGCCCAGGGAATTGGGCCATCTTCTACTGCTTTTCCAGGCCATAGCAGAGAGCTGGATTGGAAGTGGAGCACTGGGACTTGAACTGGCGCCCATATGGGATGCCGGCACTGCAGGTGGTGGCTTTACCTGCTACACCACAGCGCCGGCCCCTAGATTTACCTTTTAATTCCATTTTTCTCCAAACCATTTGAAGTCCCCATGTATGCTCTGTTCACATCTCTTTACCATTTGGATTTCTCCCAGGATGACTGAGTTACCGGGACACAGACACCTCCTGAGCCCACCAGCACCTCCTACAACACAAGTGGGAATGTCTTCCATCCACTACCACCACCTGGAGCTGGAGCCCACTGAGCCTTACCTGGTTCCTCCCGACGGCCGCCTTGCCTTATTGCTTGAACAGGCTCTGCTGAAACCAAATCCAAGACCGTGACATTGGCCGTGGGGCCCTCGCTGTGGCTCGCGGCGGGTCCTTCCTGCCCATGTTCAGGACGAGCCTTCCAGGATGGCAGCCTTGCTTCGGGGGCAGGCGGAGGGCAACTTCCCCTTGAGCTGCCCGGCGGAGCTGGACTCGGTCTTGGTGCAGACTTGGGGAGCGTCCCATGTCCACGTGCGGAGTGGCTCAGAGGAGTCGGGGGGCTCCCTGCTCCATCCTCGTTGCCTCCTACTTTCCTTCCACTCCTTCCCCCTCCCTGGTGCTCCGTGCCGTGGCCTCTGCTGCCCTGTTCACCTCGCCCTTGGGTGCCGGTTCTTTCTCCCTTCCCTGACTGTCTCCGGGGCCTCCCTGGCTACGTTCCTGGAGGATGCTGTTGGCAGGGAGGCCGATGGTGTTCACAGGTGTGGCTGGCTGGTCTGCCTCGCCCAGGCTCACTCTGCCAAGGCCACATTTTGGAGAACACTTTTGTAGTTGTTTTGTACCTTGAGAACATTTTATCACGAGTAAAGCCTCAGAAAACAATTTCTGCACACGGCTTCAGGGGTCAGAAACCTCGCAGCTAAGCCACGCCCCCGGGCCCGAGCATTGGTCACGAGCGTGCCCACGCTGGGAAGGGATCTGGGGTTGGCGTCTACGTGTTTTAGGGACTTGGTGGCAGGTGGATCCCATGTGACTTGGGAAAGGGGAGATGGAGGTGACCTAGGAATTATCGAGGCCCCTTCCTGTGCTGGCCATGGTAATCGCTAAACACACTGACTGCCGAGTGCTCCTGGTGCTGGTACTTGGCGCTAGGCGCTCGCGAGGTCTTCCTTGTCACAGCCATCCCCTGAGGTCTGTACGCTTGTCATACTTTTTATATAGGGCTGCAGCTGGGCTCCCTGGGCGGTCTGTGGAGGAGAGAGGAATTTAAACCCAGGCAGTCAGATTTCAAGACCCACATTCTTAACTCTCCGGACCAGTCTGCTTCCTTGTGCATACGACAAAAAGAGAAAAAGGAGCTGGGAAGAGGCTCAGCAGCTTGCTCACGGGTGCAGAACCAGGATGGAAATCCGGAGCAGCCAGAGGCCAAGTTTATGCCCCTTGCACGTGCTCTGCTTCCCTCGTCTGCAGTGCGGTCTTTGATACAGGGGCCAGAGATGGCAGAGCCACCTCACTGGTGTCCAGCATCTGGATGGGGCTGGCTCCCAGGCAGCTCATGCCGGGGCCTCAGCTATGGGGGTGTTGAGGGAAATGAGTGAGCAGGAGGGTAACTGGGGCTACTGACCGGGCATGGAGGCCCCAGTGTGGGGGATCCTGCTGCCCGATGCACTGTGGCTAAAGGGGACCGCAGTCCCGTGTGCACAGCACCCTTCCAGACAAGGATGCCCCATGTGTCACAGAGAAGCAAGAGAAAGGGCTGGGGGTCTTGGATAGGATTCAGGAAGACAAAGGCTACTGTGGGGGAGATCGGCGGTCGGGGTGGGGCAGGTGTGTGGGAGCCGAGGCTGGAGGTCGGGTTTTATGCCATCTCCAGGCAGAGCTGGGATTCAGAGACTTCACCCTAACTTCTGGGAAGCTAGTAAGCCCATGGAGGGCGACCCGGTCTGCTCTGTAGGTTTTGGAGATCACATGGCCACGGAGAGCTCACTGGGGAGACCGCTGGTGTTGACCAGGTGAGCCTGCAGGGGGCTGATGGAAAGAAGAAAATGGCTTGAGGGGCATTCTGGGGGGTGGGGGTCAGGACCCCAAGGAAGTGAGGAGAGAGCAAGGGTTGGGAATGATGCCCAGGTCACAGGTGTGTGGAGGTTCTCAGCAGAGACCTGGCTGTAGCCCGCAAGCAAGGGAGCAGAGATCCACGCCCTGGAGAAGGGGACAGGAGCTGGGCTCCAGGCTGGGCAGGCAGGGAGACTGAGGCACCTGTTCCATCTGAGTAGGATGGGGGGGGCGGTGAGAAGCTGCTGTGGCCCAGCGGCTGCCTGGGCTCACAGGGCTCACCCTGGCACCCTGCACAGGAGTCCCTGTGAGAGCACAGCTGTCCCCAGCTCCCCAGCACATGGGAGGCCCACGGTCCTGGTTGTACTGTGGCTCCTTTGTGGGCGAGAAATGGCTGGGTGTTAGGGTGGGGCTGGCCAGTGGGCCGGAGCACCTGTAGACACGTGTGGGGAGCTGAGGAAGGAGCAGGGGCTGCACCCGGCTTCCAGTGCCCCCCCACCTCCAGGGCAGTTTTCTGAAAACACCTTGGCCCCCATCACGCCCTTGATGAAGAGTTCAAATTCCCTCTCACAACTCACAGAGCTCGTGACACTGCCGCAGTCACACCCTCCTTCCTCTGCCTGCTCCCTCCTTATCAGCTCTGGGCTGTATTCCAGAGTAGCTAGAAGGAGTTTCTGCAGGGGCTTAATCAATGCTAGAAACAGAAGGTGGTGGTGGTAGTGTTTTTATGATCCAGTTTGTTGGCACAATGTTAAGTTAAAACTCAAACACTTCTATGGGATTTCTTGGAGCTTTTAAAAAATTAATTGGTTATTTCAGAGAGACAGATCAACAGAGAGACAGATAGAGACATAGCTCCCAGCCATTGGCTCACTTCCCCAAATGCCTGTAACAGCTGAGGCTGAACCAGGCCAAAGCCAGGGGCCAGGAACTCTATCCAGGTCTCCCGTGGGGGTGACAAGAACCTAATCATTTGAGCCATCGCTGCTGCCTCCAGAGGTCTGCATTAGCAGGAAGCTGGAGTCAGGAGCAGGGCCAGGAATGGAACTCAGGTACCCTGGGAGTTTCAATAGGCTAATCTGCACCAAAACTCTTCAAGACGGACATGGCTATGTATGCGCCATATTTGTCTGACCACAGAACTCCCAGTGAGGGGCATCTCGTGGGACAGCTGCCATGAGACACTAGTTTTGGAGAGCCTGCCCTGGTCCCAGGGAAGCCATGTCCATGTCCCCACCTCCTCTGTGTGGCTGGAGCTCTGTGGTCGGGAGGCCCCTTTCTTCCTTTCCACCTGGATCTGAATTCTTCCTCCAAGGTTCCCACCGCCAAGCCTAATGATGGAACAGGACACGTCATTCAGATCTCCAAAGGAACCCAAGCAGATCCTTGAGCTCCCATTTGTACAGCAAACACATTTGAGGGATTAAACTCATCTCCATAAATAATGCATTTAGAAGCCACATTTAGGGGGCCAGTGTTGTACACAGCGGGTAAAACTGCCATGTGCAACCCTGGCATCCCATATGGGCGGCGGTTCAAGTCCCGGTTGCTCCTCTCCTGATATAGCTCTCTGCTGTGGCCTGGGGAGGCAGTAGATGACTCAAATGCTTGGGCCCCTACTCCCACGGGGGGACCTGGAAGAAGCTCCTGACTCCTGGCTTCAGATCAGCCCAACGCTGGCCACTGCAGCTCTTTGGGGAGTGAACCAATGGACAGAAACTCTCTTTCTCTGTCTCTCCCACTCTCTCTGTAACTCTTTCAAATAAATAAGTAAATCCTTTAAAAAGATCTAAAAATATATTTAAAGGGGAAAAGAACCCATATTTTCACTGTTATGTTCATAATTTGTAATATTTTGAATAATGTGTAATTTCTGTACATGATTGTAATGCTGTGCCTATACATAAAACTTGATTCTACTTTTATAGTTAATGTCACATAATCTCTTCCCATGCTGCTACATAGTCTTTATAGCCATCATTTTTAAGATTGACTGTCATGGAAAAGTTCTAGCACAGTTCAATGTTAGATATTTAAGTTGATCCCCATTTAGCTAATATATTTAACGTTTCAAAAAATGCCGAAATGTATAGTTCCCTCAACTTTCCCCTCCCACACAAACACTATATTTCTGGGTTATTGCTTTGGAATCTTTTGTAAAGTACTTGTTCTTTCGGCAGATTGCTTCCCCCAAGGGTTATTACCGGCAGTGTAGTTAGAGAACCATTTTCAAGCTACCCTTGCCAGAACTGGGGATGAAAACATTTTTTAAATGGTATCTGCTAAGGTAAACATTACTGCTTTAGGAGTGGATGCCCAGCCTCGCAGTCTGGACGCCCACATCCGAGTCAGCGCCTGGGTTTCGTTCTTGGCTCCAGCTTCCTGCTGCTGCAGACCCCGGTGGCAGTGGACCTGCCACTCCTGTGAGATCCCACTGCCAGCTCTGATCCCAGCCCAGCCCCCGCATTTGGGGAGTGAACCAAGCCATGGGGGGAGCTCTCTCTCTGCCTCTCAAATATTTAGAAATAATAATACTTCAGGGGTCGGTGCTGTGGCGTAGCGGGTAAAGCTGCTACCTGCAGTGCTGGCATCCCATATGGACGCTGTTTCAAGTCCCGGCTGTTCCACTTCCCATCCAGCTCTCTGCTATGGCCTGGGAAAACAGTGGAAGATGGCCCAAGTCCTTAGGCCCCTGCACCCACGTGGGAGACCCGGAAGAAGCTCTTTGCTCCTGGTTTCAGATTGGCCCAGCTCTGGTCTTTATGGTCATTTTTGGAGTGAACCAGCAGATGGAAGACCTCTCTGTCTTTCCTTCTCTGTCTGTAATGCTACCTCTCAAATAAATAAAATCTTAAAAAAAGAAAGAAAGAAAAAAAGAAAGGCAGAATCGGAGAAGAAAGTCAGAGAAAGAGAGGGAAGTCTTCTATCCATTCCCCAAATGACCACAATGGCAGTAGCTGGGCCTATCCGAAGCCATGAGCCAGAAGCTTCTTCTGGGTCTTCCACAAGGGTACAGGGGCCCAAGGACTTGGGCCATCTTCTACTGCTTTCCCAGGCCATAGCAGAGAGCTGGATGGGAAGTGGAACAGACAGGACTCGAACTCACGCCCATATGGGATGCTGACACTGCAGGGGGTGGCTTTACTTGCTACGCCACAGCGTCGGCCCCACAACTATTTTCTATGTTTAAAAATTTGTCTTACAAAAATTAGAATCTCTCTAATTGTATATGTTCTATTTGTGATTTTTTATTGCTCCTACAATAAATATATTCTCTTTTAAGATGTTTGTTTTCCATTTTGATTATTATTTGGTTTTATACTAAACTCTGCCTATAACTTAAGGGTAGGTATGAAATGATGTAACTAATTTGCCTATTTCCAAAGTGCTAACCAGTTATCCTAAAACTTTTTTTAAAAGATTTATTTATTAATTTATTTGAAAGGCAGAGTTCCAGAGAGAAAGGGAGAGACAGAGATCTTCCATCTGCTGGTTCACTCCACAGATGGCAACAACAGCCAGGGCTGGACTAGGCTAAAACCAGGAGCCTGGATCTTCTTCTGGGTCTCCCATGGGGGTGGCAAGAGCCCAAGCACCTGGGCCATCCTCTGCTGCTTTTCCCAGGCCATTAGCAGAGAGCTAGATCAGAAGTAGAGCAGCCGGGACTGGAACCGGCGCCCTATGGGATGCCTGCACTGTAGGCAGTGGCTTTACCTGCTACACCACAGCGTCGACCCGGGGGCAGGGGGTGGGTGTCTTGAGGCACCTTTTCACACACCCTCAGCCATTTTATTACAAAATCTAGAACTGGAATCTCCGGGCCTAATTTACATATTTAAAGTGTGTGTGTGTGTGTGTGTGTGTGTTTTAAATACATATTGCCAAACAGCCCTGGAGAGAGCTCTGCAGCTCCATTCGCTGTGTACGGACGGGCTGCACCTCACATACACCAGCTCACGAACAGAAAAAAGCAAGAACTTTCCCAACTTGGGACCGCAGTGCCTTCCACGTGGAACTGCATTAAAGACCCCAGAATCCGCCCATTCACCAGCTACCCCGGCAGCAGCCCTCCTACACCTGGAGACGACCCTAATTCACAGCAGCATTGTGCGCAACACTGAGAAAGAAGCACGAATTAACCGTTCCTTAGCCGAGGAACTCAGCGGATCGTCCCGGGAAAGGACTGCGGATTCGACGCGGACGGTGCCGTTTCTGCCTCCGGATCTGCTTTTCCGACGTGCTCGGCTTTTCGCCCCGGCCAGGATTCTGGATATGCAGCGGTCCGTGTGGACGAGGGGCTCAGGATCCGGATTCGCGTCCCATCCGGTCTCGCTCCTTGCTGTCCACATCTGCCCCATCCCCGGCGAGCTCTCCGCCCTCTGCAGGGCCTCAGGGGGCCCCGGACCCTTTAGTGCTCGGACTGCGGGGCGCCGGAGCCTAGTTTCCGGGCGAGGCTCTTAGCCGCGTACCAACCGGAAGTGCCCGTGTTATGACGGGAAGAGGTGCTTTCTGGGAACAGCAGGTGCTGAGGGGGTTGCATGGTCCGCAAAGATGATTCAGGCGATTTTGGTTTTCAACAACCACGGAAAGCCACGGCTGGTCCGCTTCTACCAGCGTTTCGTGAGTGCGGCCCGGCTTCGCCACGCCCCTTCCTGGCGTCTGCGCCCTCTTCCCTCCCCCTTTGGCCCCTCTGCGCGCCGCTTGTTGACCACTTCGGGTTCCTGCGCCCCGCATGACCCTCACGCTCTTCAGCTCCTTGCGTCCTTTGGGCAGGGGCCGACGTCCGGCCCGCAGGCCACCGCCCCACCGCCCTGTTGTCCTCTGTACCCTTTCGGGACCCCGGCGCTTCCCGGGGTGGAGCCGCGGTGGGGAGTGTGCCTCGCCGAGAATATGAGTGCTGGAGCCCCTTGGTTTCTACTTTCTGGTTGTTGGCCGCAGTTGCATGAGGAGGGAAAAGCATTGATCTGCTTTAAATTCTTGTCTTAGCCGGGAGGACTGAGAAAGTCCTTTTCTTGCAATGGTCTTGGCTTCAGTGTTGGCTTGGGACCGCCCGGGCGCTTCTCTGCACTGTAGGGTTGAAGAAAGCCAGCTTTAGGGCGGGAAGTTGGTGGGAAATGACGGTTGCTGCCGCGGGACAGCTCAATAAATGATCATGTGAATTTGGATTTTCAAAAAAAAAAAAAAAAAAAAAAAAACAACATTTCACGAGAAAAACACAAACACAGCTCACTTTTCCTGCTTTTGGCAAGCTAATAAACCTCTTCCGGACCTGTATTCCAGTCTCTGTCCAGTACAAATGAAAAACAACCCTAGCCTTTTCGTAGGATTTCTAAAGCGAGATTTTTTCAGACGACAGCGCGCTAAAAATGACAAGCATTCAGCCTCACTGTTAAACCTGTATTTGTGTCTGTGGATCCTCCGCCCGCCACCCCAGTGTTTTTCTGACAGTTGCTGAGATCCCTCACCCACCGCACGGTTCACTTACTTGAAGTGTGCATGCGGGGACGCGGCCTCGAGGTGCTGCGTGGGCTGCCCACCTGCCGTGGTGGATGCCAGACTTCCGGTCTGGGCTCCGCTCCTCAGTCCAGCTTCTGCGGACCTGAGGAGGCGGCAGGTGATGGCTCAGCTCACCGAGTCCCTGCCACCCCCGGGGCTGGATTGGTTTCAGTCTGGGTGCCAAGGACATTTGGGGAGTTATTGCTGTTTCTTTCCGTCTCTCTGCCTCTCAAATACCTTTAAAAATACACTGTAGCTCCAAGTGGTTTGTAGTGTTCACAAAGGTGTGCAACCATCACCACAACTTTGCTTAGAAGCCCTGCCCATTAGCAGCAAATACTGCAGGCCTGGGCAACCACTTAGCTCCCTTCTGCCTAAATTTGCCTATCCTGGACAGTCCATTTAAGTGGAATCCGACAATATGTGGTCTTTTGTGTCTATCTTCTTTTACTTAATGTTCTTCCATGTTATAGCGTGTATCTGTTCTTCATTACTTTGTGTTGCCTAATAATACTCCATTGTATGTATATGTCACATTTTAAAAACACGTATTTATTTGGAAGAGTAGAGAGAGGGAAAGACAGAAAGAGGCCTTCCGTCCTCTGGTGTATTCCCCAAACGATCACCACAGCCATAGCCGGCCGGGCTGAAGCCAGGGGCTCCACTCTGGTCTCCCACCTGGGGGCAGGGGCTGAAGCACCTGGTTCTGCTTCCCCCAGGTGCCAGCAGGGATTTGAACCGGCGCTCACGGGATGCGGTGTCACAGGTGGCTGCTTAACCTGCTGTGCCACAGTGCTGGCCCTGGAAGAAAATGTTAAATCTTTTCTTTCTTTTTTTATTTAAGAGGCAGAAGGAGCTGATTCACTGTCCAGATGCCCCAGATAGCCCCTGGCTGGCAGTGCAGCCCAGATCCAGGAACTCAGCTTCAGGTCTCCCACGTGAGTGGACCCAGTCACTTGGGCCACCACTGCGGCCACCCCTGCCCGACCTGCATCTGCAGGAAGCTGGAGCAGGAGCAGAGTTGGGCCTTGAACCTGGGACTCAGCTGTCCGACCTGGCAGCTTAGCTTCCAGGCCAGACACCTGCCCTGGGTCCCCCACCTTTTGGTGTCCATTCATCAGTTGGTGTTTCCTGCTTTGGCTCTGGTGATAATGCTGGGTGGACAGTGAGGTTTTTGTGTGAACAGAATTTCTCTCATTCCTCTTGGGTGTGTACCCAGGAGTAGCATTGCTGGGCCGTATGCTAATTCTATGGTGAATGTTTTGAGGAACTGCCAGACTGTTTTCCACGTGACTGCACGATGTTTCATTTCTGTCAGCTTTGTATAAGCCTTCAATTTCTCCACCTCATAATAAACATTGTCTATCTTTTTGAGTAAAGGCATTTTAGTGAGTGCAGTGTATCTTTTTTTTTTTTTTAAGATGTATTTATTTATTTGAAAGAGGTAGGAGAGACAGAGAGAGATCTTCCATCTGCTGTTTGCTCCCCAGATGGGAGCCAGGCTGAAGCCAGAGATTCCTCCAGGTCTCCCACTTGAGTCAGGGGCTCAAGCACTTGGGCTATCTTCTGCTTTTGGGAGGTGGATCGGAAGTGGAGCAGCCAGGACTCGAACTGGTGCCCATATGGGATACCGGCATCACTACAGCACAGTGCTGGCCCAGTGCGGTGTGTCTTACCCTGGTTTTGATTTCTAGTTCCATGAATATCTTGTCTATGTGCTTGTTGGCTATTTGTAAATCTTTGACTCTCATAGGGTTTTTATAAGAAACTCACGAGTGAAGATTGCAGAAGATTAAAGATAAAAGGAGTTGATAAAATAACTGGAACATGCAAGCAACTGGTAGTTAACCTTTTTATTGAACTAGAAATTAGGTAGTCTGACCGTTTGACATCATTTCCCCTCTACCACTTCCCCTTTAGAGTTAGAGAATAAGCTTGTAGTTCAGAAGATGTTCCTGCCCGTTTTTTTTTTAAAGATTTATTTATTATTTATTTTAAAGTCAGAGTTACACACAGAGAGAAGGAGAGACAGAGAGAGAGGTCTTTCATCCGCTGGTTCACTCCCCAGTTGGCCGCAACTGGAGCTGCACCAGTCCGAAGCCAGGAGCTAGGAGCTTCTTCCGGGTCTCCCATGTGGGTGCAGGGGTCCAAGGACTTGGGCCACTTCTACTGCTTTCCCAGGCCATAGCAGAGAGCCCATATGGGATGCTGGCACTGTAGGCAGTGGCTTTACCTGCTATGCCACAGTGCCTGACCTTGTCAGTTTTTAAAAGGTTCTGATCTCAGCACTTTTTGTGTTTCAGTGCACACAGCGTTAACCATTGACAGTATCCTGGCATCTGTGAACTCTTGTGTGTTCTTTAAATTGCAACCAGGAAAGTAGTGATTGATTTACTTGAGTTTATACTAAGTTTTCATTTGGGACCAGTGTTGTGGCCCAGCGGTTAAACTGCTGCCTGCCATGCTGGCATCTGTGTGGACACCAGTTTGAGTCCTGGCTGCTCCATTTCCAATACAGGTCCCTGCTAATATACCTGGGAAAGCAGATGCTAACCCAAATCCGTGGGCCCCTGCTGCCACTTCAGAGACCTGGACAAAGTTCCGGGCTCCAGCTTTCAACCTGGTCCAGCCCTGGCCTTTGCAGCCATTTGGAGAATGAACCAGGAGATGGAAGATCTCTCTGTATCTCCCTCTCTCTGTAACTCTGCCTTTCAAATAAATAAATGTTTTTTAAAAATTGCTAAAAAAAGTTTTCATTCGTTCATTTATTTTTTTAATATTATTTTGAAAGGCAGAACTACAGAGAGAGAAGGAGAGCTCTTCCATCTGCTGGCCCACTCCCTAAATGGCTTCAATGGCTGGGATTAGGCCAGGCCACAGCAGGGAGCGAGATCTCCATCCAGGTCTCCTGTGGGAGTGGCAGGGGCCCAGGCACGTGGGCTATCACTGACTGCTTTCCCAGGTGCAGTAGCAGAGCTGGATCAGAAGCTGAGTAGCAGGACTTGACCAAGCACCATGACGTACCATGCCAGCTTTCCAAGTGATGGCTTTATCTGCTGCCCCACAAAGGCAGCCCCATTCTTTACATTTCATTCCTTAAATACTGACGGCCATTCTATACTCACGTTGACTTAAAGTAATTTCCCTGGCTTTTTTTTTTTTCGCTCTCTCCCTATTTAATTTTTTTAAAATTTACTGGAGAGGCAAAGAGAGGGACAGACAGTGGTCCCTCCTCTGCTGGTTCATTCCCTACCTGTCTGCTGGTCTGGGCCAAAGTCAGGAGCCAGGAATTTGATCCAGGTCTCCTGTGTGGGTGGCAGGGACCACATACATGAGCTATTGCCTCCTGCCTCCCAGGGTCTGCACTGGTGGGAAGTTGGACCTGGGAGTCAGAGCTGAGGATCAAACCCTGGTATTTCATCTTTCCTGGGCCAAACGCCCACCACCCCTATTTCCTACCAATAACTAACGGTTTCAAGCTTAAACTCAATGCTGTAGAGAGAAAAGGATTAAAATTGCTTGAATCTGTTTTCTCACCCTTGAACAAGTTCATTCTGAAAGTTTGCTTAGTCTTGCTACTCAAGTGTGGTCCCCAAACCAAAAGCATTTGGGACCACTTGGAAGCTTGTTAGAACTGTGGTCTCAGGACTTAACCCAGACCTACAAAATCCTTAACGACATTCCCAGCTGATTGCACATTAACATTTGAGATTGAAGCACTGGTCTAGAACTTCTACTTACTTTATGTCTAGAAGACCAGTTTCTTCCTTCCATCATCCTTCCACACTTGGAAAACACATATAAATGAGTAGAAATCAAATGTGTGTTATCAAGTGATTCCATCATAGTTGAGCTTTCTCAAGTGTGTAGTCAGTGAAAAAAGAAATTTTGTTTATAGCTGTGTTCAATAATTGGAACTTTGTCTTTCTCAATACTACTTTGTTGGTGAGCCACACAGCATCTTATATATAGTATCTATAGTACCAGTACGAAAGGTAGCAAATTCAGGGTTTTTGTGTGTGTGTGTGTGTGTGTTTTGTTTTTTTTTTTTTTTTTTTTTTTTTTTTTTTTTTTTTTTTTAGGATTTATTTATTTGAAAGGCAGAGCCAGAGGGAGAAGGAGAGAGAGAGGTCTTCTATCCTCTGGTTCACTCCCCGAATGCCCGCTGGGCCGATCTGAAGCCAGGAACCGGGAGCTTCTTCTAGGTCTCCTACATGGGTGCATGGTCCCAAGCACTTGGGCCATCTTCTGCGGCTTTACCCAGGCACACTAGCAGGGAGCTAGATGGGAAGTAGAGCAGCCGTTACTTGAATTGCTGCCCATATAGGATGCCAGCACGCATGTGGCGGCCTTACCCACTATGCTGCCATAATGCCAGCCCCGAATTCAATGTTTTGAAACATGTTTGTGGTACATCTTGACCTTCTTAAAGCATTAGACCTGCTGAGATTTGTTATTTAGCTGGCATGGATATTTTTCAAATGAAGACAAAAATATTTCAGGATCAAGCTTTCTAGTTATTCTTTAACTTTGAGAGTTTATCAGTCTCCACTCCTTGTTTGAATATCAACTCATCCATCTAGAGGTCAGTTATGACTGAGACGTCTAGGTAAATATATCCTATCTTAGTATATAATATCCTATCTTTTATAGCAGAGCCTTCTTGTCTATTTTTCCATGGGTTCATTCTGTATTTATTCTTTTAAAAGTTTTTTTTTAAGGTTTATTTATTTGAAAGATAGAGAACGTGAGAGCTCTTCCATGCACTGGTTCACTCCCCAAATGACCACAACAGCCAGGGCTGGGCCACATGGAAGCCAGGACCCAGGAGCTCCATCCAGGTCTCCCATGTGGGTGGCAGAGGCCCAAGCCCTTGGACCTTCCTCTGCTGTTTTCCCAGGTGCTTTAGCATCGAGCTAGATCAGAAGTGGAGCAGTGGGATGCAGCTTCCACCACAGTGGCCGGCCCCCTTTTCTCCTCTTTCCTGGAAATGAATATGAATGGTTCGGGTTGTTCCCGGCTTGGAAGCACTCCTCTCCCTGGCGCCACCCCCTCCGCAGGATGTCGTTTTCAGCGTTGCCCACTCATGTGCTCTTGTTTGTGCCACAGCCAGAAGAAATCCAGCAGCAGATTGTGCGGGAGACTTTCCACCTCGTCCTCAAGCGGGATGACAACATCTGTAACTTCCTGGAGGGTGGGAGGTGAGCTTCCCCCACTCGGGTGTCAGGGGGACCTGATGCTCTTGAACCAGTCAGCGTGAATTGCTCATGAAGAGACCCAGTTCTCCCTGGGAAGCAGTTGGATTATTTTGCTTCCAGCATTACTCATTCTGTTTTCTGGTCCCTGGGGAGACAGGCAGGCGGTGAGGGGAGGTAAGGTGGCTTTAGGATCTTCCTCCAAACCTGGTAGCAGTGGCCTGCTTCTAGCTCTGGACCTTCCTTCACCTTTCCACTGGGCCCTCTGTTACCTCCTGGGCACAGGCTGATGGGTTTAATTAGAAGGCAGGCATTTAAATGTCTACTGTCTTCCACAGTTTGATTGGTGGCTCTGACTACAAACTGATTTACCGGCACTATGCTACCCTCTACTTTGTATTTTGTGTGGATTCGTCAGAGAGTGAACTTGGGATCTTGGACCTCATCCAGGTATGTGTAGTCCGCTCTTTTATAGAGTTTGAATGGCCAAGCTTTTTGTCGGTGTTGGGCATCATTGCCAGGTGTCCACCAGGTGGTGCTGTGGGACAGCTCCTGAGCCACCCTCAGGCTGAACACTTTTTTTTTTTTTTTAAAGATTTATTTATTTGAAAGTCAGATTACACAGAGAGAGGAGAGGCAGAGAGAGAGAGAGGTCTTCCATCTGCTGGTTCACTCCCCAGTTGGCCGCAACCACCGGAGCTGCACCAATCCAAAGCCAGGAGCCAGGAGCTTCCTCCTGGTCTCCCATGTGGGTGCAGGGCCCAAGGACTTGGGCCACTTCTACTGCTTTCCCAGGCCATAGCAGAGAGCTGGATCGGAAGTGGAGCAGCTGGGTCTTGAACCAGCGCCCATATGGGATGCCGGCACTTCAGGCCAGGGCGTTAACCCACTGTGTCACAGTGCCGGCTCCAGGCTGAGCACTTTTGCTTTTACTGGTTTCTACCCGACCCTTGCACTGCCCTTGGTTTTCTTGTTTGGAATTTTTTTTTCAACTATAAAACCAAATGACATTTAAAAATTTACAGTTTTTATTTTCACTTATAATTCTAGCCCAAAGAAGCTTGTTGCTTTAGTTAGTCTGTGTAATCTCGACATGAGGAAACATGATTTTTGTTAAATTTTTTGAAAATTACAAGTTACTTCTAGGTTGTTTTAATTATCTTCACGGACACTGAGATGTGCAGGGACCCCAGCTCAGGAAGCACTAATTTAGTCTAATGGCGTCGTTTATTCCTGAGATTCCAGGTGGGCTGCTTCGACGCGGCTTCAGTAAGCTCCGCGGGTAGAAAGCACTTCAGTAGAAGTTTAGCTTGAAAAGCTGCTTAACAATTATGGAAAAGAAAACACCGACAAAATGGCAAGTTTAAATGCTTACAACTACTTACTGTCCTATTAAAATTAAAGAAGCTACATTTAATATATTTGGGGACAAATAAATGGGAATGTTGAGTGTATATTTTTGTTTCAGATATGCTAGACTCTTATGGGAAGTGATATTTTACTTGGACATAGCAACTTTTAATTTATGTGTGTATTTATACCCATTCACATTTGGAAAATTATTTAAGATGATTAAAGATTCATATATCACATTTGCTTTTTCATATGCAAAAGTATAAACAGGGGACAGGCGTTTGGCCCAAGGCGAATGGCTAAGATGCTGGTTAAGATGCCCGTGCCCGTGTCAGAATACGTGAGCGTGAGCTCCTTGCTCAGCCAATGCAGATCCTGGGAAACAGTGGTGATGGGTCGGTAGCTGGGTTCCTGCCACCTGTGGGAGACCTGGCCCAGCGCAGCCTCAGAACCAGCTCTAGCTGCAGGCATTTGGAGAATGAGCCGGCAAAAGGAAACACACACACACTTATTCTCTCCCTGTTAAAATAAATAAATAATTGCCCAAATGAGATCAACACAAAGGCATTAAAATAATTCAGTATTGGGATGAAATGGGAACTGTTGGGGGGAAAAAAAAGAACTGACTCCTTAGTGGCTCAAAATAGATTTTTAAAAAATGTTTAATAAAACCTCTATGTAAATGTTACATTCCATTGTTTTTTAGTCTTGGATCAGAAAATCGTGCTACTTAAGTATATTTACAGAGTAAATTAATTATTATCCCCCAATCCAACTCTAAAAAGGAAAATGTTACTCAAATATTGCATATTAATATTAGTACAAAATTACTAAATAAAAATCTTAGCCAGAAGTCTACTGAACCAAGAGGTCGGGAGACCTGGCCTTTTTTTTAATTCTCCCATTTTAAAGATTTATTTATTTTTTTGAAAGGCAGAGTTATAGACAGGCAGAGGCAGAGAGAGAGAGAGAGAGAGGTCTTCCATCTGCTGGTTTACTCCCCTAATGGCTGCATCGGCTGGAGCTGCGCTGATCCGAAGCCAGGAGCCAGCTTCTGGGTCTCCCACAGGGGTGTAGGGGCCCAAGGACTTGAGCCATCCTCTGCTGCTTTCCCAGATACATTGGCAGGGAGCTGGATCAGAAGTGGAACAGCTGGGACTCGAACCTGCGCCCGTGTGGGATGCAGGTGCTGCAGGTGGAGGCTTAACCTACTATGCCACAGCACTGGCCCCTAAAAAATAATTCTTAAAAAGTTTTATTGGTCTTCAGTTTTCTAGTTTGGTTTGTGTTTTAACTCCTCATTATGTTAGGGTTTTTTTTTTAATCTACAGAGATACTATATATCTTCTCTAGCCCCAAATTCTTTATCAGGATTACTGCAGGCTAGAACAGTTATTCATTGTGTTTAAGCAGTATTTATCCCTGGAATGTAAATCTATTGCAGGGATTTAAAAACAAGAAAACCAAAACTGTAATTGCATCTGCAGATGGTGAGAAAAGTGACTGTCTAGATTCCTGAGAAATGCTCTTCAGTTGGAATGAGAAGCATTTTTACTTGATTAGGGTCATGGCAAGCAAAGTAAGAGGAGATCAAATCCAGCACAGAAGTAGATGCGGTCAAGGAACAGGATAAGCGTGGCGTATACAGAGGGACTTCAGAAGTTTGTGGAAAATGGAGTTAAAACTCTGAGTTTATGTTGGTGCCAAAAAATGCAAGCATACTTTCTTCATAATACATTTTTTTCTAAGAACTAATCCTCCGGGATTACGGATGTGTGTGTGTGTGGTACATTGTTGATGGAAACAGCATCATGTGGTACGTGACTGTTCAGAAATGCTGTTTATACTGCCTGTAAACCAGGTAAGTGTATGTTTCCTCTTAGCTCCAACACTGAAATGTATGTGTCAGGCTTAATTTCTGCTCAGAGACAGAGGTACCTCACAAGTGTCTGAATTTTTGCTTATATAATGCCTACGTTTTACATGTGAGTTTACAGTGTTCTTGGCCATGTCAGCCTTCTGTAACATAATCAAGCCACTTGTCCAGTGTAGACTGGGTCCAGCTTTATCTATTCTGTGACAGACGTGTCATCACACTTGCATGACTTTAAGTCAGGATGTATGTTGCAGTGCGTGTCTTCTTAGGAGTGTGATTGACGGCATTGTCTGCCTGGTTCACACATAAAATAATGATTTGCCTTAAAAATCAATGATAAGATAATTCTCAGTGTATTTTGAGTTTACTTTAAATTGAATTTTTTTCCAACCTAATTTTTTTAAGCTGTTAAGTGTAAATAATCCATTTTTTACCCCTACCCCGATTGAAGAAACTTTTGTGTCTAGTAAGTTTAGAGTGAAATGCAAACTCCCCAGTAGTAGCCTACAAGGTCCACGTGATCTGGCTCCTCTGGCTCCACCTGGTGTCACCACACACACTCTTCCCTGCACCTTGCTCCTCTTCCTTATCGTTCTTCAAACACAAGTGCGTCTTTGCCTCCGGGCCTCTGCACTTGTTCTGCCTGCCAGTGCCCTGATCTGGGCTCCTTCACTCTTCAGCTCTAAGAGTGACTTCTTTTCATCATCCATGTCCGCTCCATGTTCATTCTGTTTTTCAAAAAAAAAAAAAAAAAAAAGAATTATTTATTTATTTATTTGAGTGTCAGAGTTACAGAGAGAGAGGGAGAGACAGAGTTAAAATCTTCCATCTACTGGTTCATTACCCAAGTTGCCACAGCAGTCTGGGACCCAGATGAAGCTTCGTCTAGGTCCTACCTGGGTCTAGGGGCTCAAGCACTTGGCCCATCTTCCACTGCTTTTCCTAGAACATTAGCAGGGAGGTGCTCCACAGAAGTGGAGCAGCTTGAACTTGAACTGGCAACAAATGGGACGCTGGTGTGGCAGGTGGCGGCTTTACCTGCTGTGCCACAGTGCCGGCTTTGTTCATTCTTAGAGACTTGCTGGGCACTGTCTCTGTAGTAACCCCTGTCGTATGGCCCTGTTTACCTCCTTCAGAGCACCTAGGACAGTAAGAATGATCTTACTTGCCTTTTTTTTTTTTTTTTTGACAGGCAGAGTGGACAGTGAGAGAGAGAGACAGAGAGAAAGGTCTTCCTTTTTTGCCGTTGGTTCACCCTGCAATGGCCGCCTCGGCCGGCGCACTGCTGCCGGCGCACCGTGCTGATCCGATGCAGGAGCCAGGTGCTTCTCCTGGTCTCCCATGGGGTGCAGGGGCAAGCACCTGGGCCATCCTCCACTGCACTCCCTGGCCACCGCAGAGAGCTGGCCTGGAAGAGGGGCAACCGGGACAGAATCCGGCGCCCCAACCGGGACTAGAACCCGGTGTGCCGGCGCCGCTAGGCGGAGGATTAGCCTAGTGAGCCGCGGCGCCGGCTTACTTGCTTTCTTGTTCTTCCCACACCCAGAATACAAACTGACAGAAAGCTCTGTGGCCAGTGGGTAATAATCACTCATTATCTGTTGGCTGAATGAACACCTAACTCATTGTAGGGTTTTGTTTTAACACTTCAGTTTCTTCACCGAGTTATGGTTTTCTTCCTTGTATAAGAAAAATCGATTTATTCATTTGAAAGTCAGAGTTACACAGAGAGAAGGAGAGACAGAGGTCCATCTGTTGGTTCACTCTCCAAGAGGCTGCAATGGCCAGCTGGGCCAGGCTGAAGCCAGGAACCAGGGGCTTCATCCAGGTCTCCTCATGGGTGCAGGGGCTCAAGCACTTGGGCCATCCTCTGTTGCTTTGTCAGGCACATTAACAGGGAGCAGGATCAGAAATGGGGCAGCTGGGTCTTGAACCAGTGTGCATATGGAATGCCAGTGTTGCAGGCAGTGGCTTTACTCGCCACTCCACAACGCTAGCCCCAAAGATATATTTTTCTTTCTGCATTAGTTTTGCATCATTTGGTTACTGTTTTAACATAGCTACATACCTTGTAAGACCAGCAATTCTCTTGCAGTGCGGTTCTTGTTCAGTATGTGCTCTAATATTTATAACCATGTGTACATCTGCATATGTTTCTGAATAGTTTGTAAAGGTCTCAGATGTTCCTGTTGGATTTAGAATGAGCAGTGAATTAAAAATA